TATATATCTTTAACACCTACAGTTAGTGGTCACTCTTATTTCCTCATAAATAATTCATTCTCTTACAAGGAAACCCACTTTATTTCTGAAATGCTTCAAATGTAGTACCAATCAGTCCTTCCTACCTATGTGGAGCCAAATTTACTTCTTTGATTTTCTGCATACACAGCCTGGTTTTTACCTCTGAAACTATAGATTATAACTATTCCTCCACCATATGATGATGTTTCAAATACTAGCTACTCACCCTTTCAAATCTTCTCTTTTTAAAGGCTAAATATTCTCAGCTTACCAGCTGTTCTTCTTGTAGACAGCTCAGCACCATGCTGGAGACTGACATCTGGGTGAGCTTCAGGTATACCCTTTAAGACTGCAGGGTCCAGACTTGCATACAGTGCTCCAAGAGTGCTTCACCAATAAGGACTAGCATAGGTCTCTGTCACCTTCCTTGCTCTGAGTACTGTATTCTAGGGAGGCAGCCTCAGGTGGCCTTCACCTTCCATCACACCACTACTTCACACTGAACTTGCAGGTACTCTTTCACTAATGCTGTTATTTTGTCACATCATTCCCTCCTGCACACTACAACTTTTAAGAACATGGGCTTCGGAGTCAGATGGACCTGGGTGTAAATTGCAACTTTACAGCTCACTATCTTTCATCTTGGACAGCTTGCTAAATCTCTCTCTCTCTCTCTCTCTCTCTGAAACTTTCCCTTCTTTGACTTACAATGGGAGGTACAACAGCGACCTCATAGGGTTGCTATCAAGATTACAACAGATAATTAAAGGACCCCGGTCTTTAATTGTACAGCAGGGAAATACAACAGAGTAGTTAAAATTCAACTATAAAATCTACACTATAGGACAAATCCTCATCCTCTAGCTTACTAGAAACTTAGGGAAGTTTTTCAATCTCTCTAATCTTCAAGATCTACATCTGAAAAAAGAGGATATGAGTTATGTTTGTGAAGGGTTTGGAACTAGACTACTGGCTTGGATCCTAGCTTAATCTACTGTGTGACCTTAGCAAGTTATTTAACCTCTCTGTCCCTCAGTTTCCTCATCTATATAAAGAAGATAACAACAATGCCTATGTTATAGGGTTATTATTAGAATTATTTTACATAAGTGTAAAATGCCCAGAACATCACCAGGTACACAGTAAGTGCTCTATAAATGTTAGATATTATTACTACTTTATTATATTATTATTAGTACCACTAACTACTGACTTGTGAAGTTCTTGTCAAGATTAAATAATAAAATTATATAAAGCACTTGTAATACAGTTGTATAAAGCAAGTGCTTAAAAAGTGGCTTTTGTCATTAGCAAACATAAGTAAAGGATTTTATACTCATCTGTTTATTATGTCATCTCTAATGTGTGATTTTAATGGAGTATAAAACAACTACATACTGGAGTTCTACCTATCATATTTCATTATGTTAATTTTTTTTCTTTTGCAGTGTGGGGATTGAAACTAAGGACTTATGCATGCTAGGTAAGCACTCTACCATGAGCTCCATCCTCACCCTACTACGTTAAATTTAGATATTTGCTACAGTAAGTCAAGATTATTTGTGATGTTGATTTTATCATTCAATAAATTATCTTTTTGGTTTCCTATCATCTTTATATTTGGTAAGAATATTAAATATATCTGTACCCTTCAACAAGTAATGAATAAACAAGTTGAATGGAATAAAGATCAAACAAAATGCTTTGACAAAATCCTAGGAGCTCTCTTCAGATTGTATTCTTTCCACTTTAAACAATTTTTCTATCATACAGTGGACAGCTCGTCAATGGTGAAGATTTCACAATTACCTTGCAAATTCTGTATGTAGTATACCTTTAATATACCCTATCATGAAAGAAGGCAGTTTAACCTGACATGCCTCATTCTTTAGGAGCTCCTACTGTTCCAAGTAATCCCAGCTTCCACAATATTCAGAAACTGTTTAGTAAGATGTTTGAGAATTTTGCCCCATTTGAGGCCAACATTATTGGTCCATAATAAAAAGCTTCTACTTTTTTCCCTTTTTAAAAATAAACATGATACCATGTAACTGTCTCTAGTCTTTCACTTTTAGTGAAACTTTCACTAGTTTCACTTTATGAAATATAATAGTAGAACATCACTAATAAAATGCAGTTTCACTACTCACCTAATTTGATCAAGGGGTAGGCTAAAAAAGGAAATATGACAAAGTTTCTAATTGAATGCAGTGAAAATGAATTAATACATTTTACATGGATTTCTTAAGATTTCTGTAGGACCATACCTTGATCTTAAAAAGTTACTAAAACAAAAAGGTGCTTAAGAATAATAAACTTGAAAAAGAATGTGTAGTTTTGATCTTTCAACAGATCAAATTTATATATATTTAGAGTAATGTATGAATCTGGTATTTATAATCATAATATATTAATCTAATATTTATCATCAATAAGCTTCATATCCTAACTGTAAGAGTAGAAATTAGAAGCACTTTGGTTTCATAAATTTAGTATGACTCAAAATTCTTGTACTAATATAGTAAGACTACCATTACAATATAAAGACAGCACTCATTGATTTCATGGATTTCAAACTTAAAGGTCATATTTGTAATCAGAGCCCCATAACTTGTGTGTTTCTTAACTCTAATCTGTTTCCACAAAATAAAGTCAAGAAGCCTAAGTTATATCTCCACTTTTTCTGTGATCATGGGCAAATTAGTTAATCTTACTGTACTTCTGTTTTGTCTAACTCTGTCTCAATTTAGCTGCTCTGACTTCAGGGAAAAAAGGTACAATAAGATGTTTAACATAAAATATATAACATGAAAGATATATAAAATAAATTTTACTTAGAAGTTTAAAATTAATAGAAAATCAAAATGTCAATCATTAGAATCTACTATGTTTCGGCCAAGGATTTAGCTCAGTGGTTCCCAGTGCCTGCCCCCCAAGCACAAGGTCGCCAAGTTCGATCCCCAGTACCAAAAAAAAAAAAAGAAGAATCTACTATGTTTCAACCTACTAACAAGCTGAAAATTATACCTAGTGACAACCACACATAAAAAGATGAAATATTTTAAGTAACTCTAAAACACATTCAAATATATTCCAAAGACAGACCTGCAAGAATTTATTATTCTAGAGTAATCTAATCAGTAACCTAATTTCTTACAGTAATATTGGTATTACTATTTTGAAGCAATCATATGAATACATAATAGAAACAAATAGGATATAGTAGGGCAATGAAAATATTTAATTTTTTTTTCCAGAACTGGGGATCAAACTCAGGACCTTGCGCTTGCCAGGCAGGCACTGGCACCACTATGCTAAATCTCCAGCCCTTAATGTTTTATGAAATAAGATTTTCAATGTAAGGAAATAGGATAAAAGTGTAAAATCCATAAGCACACCTAGTACTCATTTTGTGGTCTCTAACTACCATTCCCCACTTAAAAAAAAACTACTTGGAAAAATGACTGATATCAGCTGTAACTCAGGTAATATATTGCATAAGCCTGGAATGTCTTATACCAAAAATCAAGAAAACTATTTAAAACATATTAGTCATGT